GGCAAACCCCACACCAAAAATAGTGCCGACACCTTACATATTAGAAAACTTAAACTCGTCATAGCGAGGAGCTTGGAGCTAGCATTGTGGGCAGCACCATCTTCAACAACAAGAGGATCTACAACAACATATCTTTTCTTAGAATTAAATAATAAGCCATAGGATTTTGAGGTTTTTTGCTTATGCAACATAAATCCTCAACTCATCTTTAGGCCTTTTGTATAGCCCTGCAGTATAATATAAGCCCTAACTCGCCTTAGGATTCTGAGGTTGTCGTTTGTCATGCCTAAATCCTCACATATTTCAGGCTATTTATGTGATCGCTTCACATGAATGTAAGCCCTAAACAAATAAAATTGACAGGATGAAACACTTTAATAATTTCTCCTCAAAATTGAAGCCAAACTATAGAATAGCTTGGGAAGTCACCGAGGTTCTCCTTTGGAGCTATGACGTCCCCTAGTTCTTCCTCCTTTGGATTCCAAAAACAAAATGTTCAAATTTGAGCAATTCCCTTTTAACACCTCTTTGTCCAATCTCGTTGAAAACTCCTATCCTTATGACCTCCTTAAAGATAACATTTCCTGATTTTGATCAACAGTTTTCTTTGGTGACTTCAGTTATCTAAGATGTAATTAACTATAGGGGCTTTCCCTTATAGAAAGGATTTTTTTCGAACCCAACTTAATATAAACCTTGTTTAATTCTTTGTATTAAATATGATAACTTGTTGGCAAATAAAATGATTTCGCTGACCAAACGTATGTCATATACTTCCTAGTTTATTTGATCGAGCCTCATCCTCGAGTCTTGTATTTATCTTTTGGGATAAATACAGGGTTTGAAGTATAATGCTCTTTCATTTAAACTATGAAAGATATGAGATCAGTTTGATTTCATATTTTTCTAAACTTGTATATATATGTAAATTAAAATGTCCTTTCGAAGCGGGCGACAAGATTTTGATTTCGGCGGCCGACAACTTCCAATGGGCAACTCCACAACCAAAAATTAGTGTCAACAGTTTTCTATATGTAGGTGGTGCTTCAAGCTGAAACGAAGTATGATTAGGGCTTGTTTTAAGTAGCCCCTTGAGGGAACACTTGTATCATTCCTTGGTAGTAGAGTTTGAGGTAACAAACAATCTAGTGGAGTATGAGCATTGATCTTCGGACTGTGTGTAGCCTATCAAATGGGTGTATGATACCTAGCAGTGAATTGAGAGTTAAAACTAATAATAAATTAAATAAAATAATGAATTCAAGGTTATAGGTGAAGTGATGATTAGGTACCTCAATAAGGCCAAGGTAGAGATATGGAAGTTCACCTAGTGCAAAATTAAACATGTCGACAGAGAAGAAAACAAGGTGGCCGACCTATTATTGAAATGTGTTCTCATGGGGAACAAATCACCATAAAAACTCAGCCGGTCGGTCGTCATAGAGCCAGAGATGATGGTGTTGGAGACTGAAGAGAACAAAAGCTGGACAGACCCCTAAGCCTGCTAATTGAAGATGGGATAAATTGTAAAAGAAATAACAAATATCAATAAATTTAAATACAAAACTACTCAATACTTACTGATAAAGGGGCACTCTTCCTGAAATTGACAACTTTGTTATACCTATAATGCCTAAAGGTGAGCAAGGTAGAGGGCTTTTTTTGAGAAATTCATTACGGGCAATGCGAGAGTCACTCAGGAGGAAAGACATTAGCACACTGGGTTAATTGATGATGTGTCAATCTGAAAGTTCAAATTTTGAGAAACTAGGGGGCTATAACTGCGATTTTTTCCGGAGTCCCTTCAAAAATAGGTCTCCTACCATCACTTTCTCCTACATCAACAAAACGAGAAGCAATATTTTGAGCAATAATAGTAACCTCACCGGTTATTGTATCTTGAATAACAATAGTAATTTTAGACATGGATGTACTATATTTTGAGGCAACATGTCTAAGGAACGGATCCTCATCTTCTAGAAAGTTACATGTTGATGGGGGATGCTTCTATTTCTATTATTTAACGTCTAGTTTCTCCTTCGTCACCCTAACTCAGGCCGCCTCATTGATGTCTGAGAGACGCCATTGATCTTTAGTCATCTTACCCTTCAACATTCGGACGACTGTTGCCTAAATGACGTACTACGAAACTAAGAGATGGCAGCCAGTCAATATCGCCTTAGCAAGGTGCATATCCTTCAAAAGAGACTTCACCTTATCCCACATTGGCTATGAAGGCTTGGTCCTAACACTCCAGTTGTCAGAGCAAGAACCAACCAAAAACTGTTTCCTACAATCTTGTATCTTATTTTTGACTCCAAGCAGTTGAAGTTTCTTAACAGTCGAAAACATGGTAATATCCTCCTTATCGACCTTGAATGAATAACATTAAATAAATAGGTTGATCGAATACAAGATGCATTCTCAACAGAAGAAAAAGAAGAAGTTCATTATTACGACTATGGAATTTGATAATACTTGAGTCAGAATTACCTCGTACATATTAAAAAAAACTCCAGAGTTCATCATACAGAGACAACCAGACGATTTACTTAAGTTGGTCATGCTAAAATACTAGATGTTTACCCACATTGCTTGTCTTATGTGCCAAGCTGCTCCCTTTGAAGGACCTACAGTTCCATTGATGTCCAATTACATTTGTTTGCCACATAAAAAATTTGGAGGAAAGCTGTCGCCAATTGTACTGCTCTTGCTAGGAGCCACTGAAGTGGCCAAGCAAGGTTGGAAGAGTGGACCAGCTGCATGCAAAGGATCGAGTGGCCGATGTCCCCCATGCATCGATCAATGATGGAGGCATGACGATCATACCTAATGTTCTGACTGTGATAGTGGGAACGAATTCAACAACATCTTTGGATGTTCTGTCATCCTTGTTATCCTCCTGATCGACTGATTCTTCTTTATTAAGATAATGTTAATAAATTACTAAACATCGCTAATGATAAAAAACATTCTTACATACTTAAAAAATCTATCCATTGAAGAAAGTGTCCGTGAAATCTCCTCTCCCTCACGAGAGGGTATCTCCATTTTTCTATGGTGGCTGCTGAGGAGATCTAGTGATTACTACTTATTTCAGGCACTTTTCATGGACCTTGATGCCTTTGGTAATTAGGCCCTACTAGCTTTCAAAAATCACACCTGAGCTAGGCCTGGGGGTTGGGGTTTTCTAGTAAGGCCTTTTCATCACCTCCCCCTTAATACCCTCGAATGAGTCGACTTTATCGGGCAACACAGGTTCCGGTCTTGGCCTCTTCTCTTTCTTTACAATCTTTTTCTTCTTTACAGAGGGATTTGAAATCTTGCCATACCTTGTAGTTCAACGTCTATATCTTTCCAATTTGTACCATCTACCATGAGGGGGGTGGGAACTAACAACAAAGAAAGTAATGGCAACCATATAGTCCTATTTTTAGGAATCACTGGGCATGAAATCCAAATGAAAGTTATTTCTTGAATTATTTTTCTCAATTTTAGTACTATTGATTATTTGAATGTTTCCCTATCCTTATCATATGTATCACTATCAAGGATTATGAAAACTCAAAGAATTAATTTGTATGCACCAAAACTACCACCACAAATCTCACAGTGATCAAATGGCGAAGGGTGATGGCCAAACAATTGAAGCATCGGGCTAAAGGAGCATGATCGGAACTAACCATGCAACAAATGATCGCTTGATCAAGTAGACTGACATGCAATATCGGCGGATCCAATCAATGAACCACGCTTACGGTCAGGTCACAACCAGTCGACCGACCGATTTTACCTCATCAAAAGTGACCATCAAGCGACTGGTTGACTCAAATGACCAAACTCAAACAAGTAAACCAACTGATAGTCGTTGCATTAAACTTAAATTGTAATGCAAATCTGATATTAAATTAGAACATTAATTTCATTAAGAGTGGTTTCCATAACCGTTCCCTCCTTTCTATAAATGTACAAATATGTCCCTATAAATAGGGGCTAGAAGATGAATAAAAGGAATTTCTCCCAGACTTCTCTGCCGAAAATTTCTCTAAATACTTTACTCTCTTTCTTTCTTTTTCTCTCGGCTCCAACTGTCGAGGCATGTATTTCCAAAAGAAAATCTAGGATCCATCATATAAAATTACATATTTGTTTTGTTCTCAAGACATAATAGGTTAAAAAATTGGTATAAAGTCTTGTGCTAGATAATATTTGCTATAGAATTTCACTTTTGGCTTTATATAAAATACTTGCTCTCTATGCTTTTTCCCACCTTGTAGGTTCCACACCATATTGGTATTAGAGCTCATGGTCAAAGGTAGAAGGAGGATGGCAGCTCAAGATGATGATCAAAACTTAGAGGCATTATGGAGGGCACAAGCAATTACTATTCAGTGCATCAATGAACATGCTACAAATTTTGGAAGGTTTGCTGTTGAGATGAGAATGAAAATCTAATCTCTCACGTGATTGGGAGGTCTTCATCAAACAACTAAAACAGATAAATTAATTGCTCTCTATTATAATCACAACCAGGTATGAGAAAACATAACGAAATGATGACTGCCAGGTGTGAATTTGATGCACTATATCACAAAAAACCACATAGACTTGTAATTTGATTTTTCTGATTCTGAAGAAGAAGAATGATACCTTACTGAGAGATCAAAAAAATTTAAAGGAGTGTTTGGTGGCACACTTTTAACGGGATTTAGCCATGAATTTCACCTAAA